CGATAATACACTTTATTATTGCATCTACCACGATGAATAACAAGAACCTTTTCGTCAACAATTAGATTATTCGCTGATAATTGATTCGGCCTTCGGCCTCATCAACTATCACCTCGTATAGTTCACCACTAAATTTTCTCCGATTCTTATTGGCTTAACTTGATCACGTGGTGCAATAATGTTCGTCCGCGGAGAGACACTACCAGACCATAGTGGCCGTCCGCGGAAAATACCCGGATGTATAGAACTCGTCCGTGAAAAATTTTCTGTAAACAAACGGGTTTGTAGAAAATAAACAGTTGAAATTGTATTAAGTGGGTTTTTGTCTGTTTTCTTTTATCAAATTTTACATCTGGCTGTCACGGCTTTCATCAGGGAAGAAAATTTAGTGGTGAGCAATAAAGACAATAGACAGTTTATGTCTCGGAACTATCGGTCTGATAGTTGCCCCTTGGAAATTTGATGTTCTTAAAACTAGTATATTTGTCCTCGAAGCTTCGCTTCTCTGGCAAATATTTGTATTAAGAACATCAAATTTCCGCGGGGCAACTATCACCCGATAGTTCCTCGACAGAAGCACTCTATTGTTTAAATAGAAATCTCAAGCGAATGATCTAATTGTTAATTAGACCATCCAGTAACGTTTTATTATAAATCACTTTAAAATGCAGGGCTTATGTCAACACCCTCTGCAATTCAAAGCGTATATACCTTTTCAGTTTTTAATGCACTTATTTCCCAAATTCACTTTAGTGAAAGCAGCTAACTCTGCGAGATCTACTGAGATAACACCAACGCAACCATCAACTTCATCAACTGGCATCTCCATCACCGAAGATAACGCCACTATCAACACCAGTCTTAACACAACAGTAAACACCACTCAACCAAAGTCTACGGGACCGACAAAGAAGACAAAGAAGACGGTTCCCAACATCCCATCAAAACAAGAGGGCCCCAAGACACAAAAGGAAATACCAGTGTTTGATCCAGCAAAAAGCGTTGACCTGGACGTTATTTCTGGTACAGCCAGTGGGATGAGGTCTACTGTTGTGGGATTTCTCATTTGGAGTTGCATTGTTAGTATGATCTCGAACTAACAGTGTTTGGGGGTGCTGTGCGCGCGGTTATTTCGATACGTTGTTGAAGAACGGCACGGCTCAAGTTTAGGCAATTTCAGTCTACTTTTTGCTACTCAAAACTTCTCTAAACTTGTTTTCGTAATATCTGCAGCCGTTGCATTCATTATACTTACAGCAACGGCGTTTCGCCTAAATGTTATTATATGTAATTAATTACAGATATCTTAATTAGTGCTATAACATCTTTTTGACAAAATATTTAACTTGAGAACATAACTGTAAAATTTTTAAGCATACGACAGGTTTACGAAATTTAAGTAAGCCTGAATTGTTGAAGTCCCCAACGAATACGCCCGATTTTGAAAAATTTGGCTTAAAAAAGTACATAGAAAGAGAACTAATTGATGATCAACGTCCAGGTTACGCAAACATCTTGCCAGCTGAAAGTGATTCTTCTTGTATTTTCGATTCCTTCTCTTTGATTATTGTCGGGATTCTGATTTAAGGTATCTATCAGTAGACAAAAAGCTCTTTTTCTTACTACAAAGTGCCGCCACCATTGAACGGGGTTATTGTAGAGAACCGTAGAAGCTTTAGTATGCATGATTTCACGACTGTTAAGGAGGTCAAACTGACCCATTATCTGAGTTCTGAGGTTAAAAAAAAACACAATAATAGATGAAATCTCTTCTTGCCACCGAAAAATCTGCAAAGCCTAGATGTGCTGGATAACGTGCTAATATTACTGTTGGTCTTAATGGTATCAAACATACTTGATTTGCAGCCAATGGGTGTAAAGCATCTGTGTGGTAGGTCGAGGGAATAATAAATGTAAGAAGCTCTAAAGCATGAGTAGAATTAATATACGCTTAGTTCTCCCAACTATTAGAAGTTGCTGCTTACTTCTTTATTCATTTGATTATAGCGAAGTAAGGAAATATGTGCATAATAGATCTCAGCGAGAAAAAAGAACGTCCTTTTAATGCTGAAAACAAACTTCTTCAAGCATGTGAAAATCGGAGACCCAATGTACAGAACGCTAGATTACCGTCAGGTATTGTAAATGTTAACCAATACTGTCTTCAAATAAATTGTGAGCAAAAGTAAATAAAGGCTTTCATGTTCTTTATTAATGGCTAAAATGATAACTTCATCTATCGATATACTGTTAATAAAGCTGGCTGTAATATATATGTACATACATGTCGTCTCTTTTGTGGTTTGTGAGTCTTTGTAGCCCTATCTTCGATGGGACCACGGAAACAAAAATTATAGTAAGTGTGTGATATTTTAGAATCCCTAACTTTGCTTGAATTTAAGATAAATAATAAAATGTTGTATTCCATTTCTTTGCCATAAAATGCAGTGAGCCCAGTGCGAGTAAAAATACCATTCTTTCATAACTGGTCTAATGGTTGGTCATCTGCATCTTTAATTAGATGAGTTGTACGTATTTTTAAAATCTCAATTACAGCGGTCGTGGCCCTGGTTTATCAGAAGACAAGGAATGCGGATAAAGTACCTTACAAACAATATATTTCGCGTCAAAACACGACAAAGTTTTGTGGAGTTGCATAAATAGATACAAGCGCAAACTAAAACACATCAAAGCTCACTGAGTCACTCACTCACTGCTTTTGTCGTGTTGCCTCTCTATTACCCAGATTGCGTTGAAGAACGTGGAGGGGGCTCATCATATCCTAGATGTCTCGTAAATTAAATCGGCCGATTAGTTAGCTAGCCGAGAATGAGGAGTACTCATTCGCTTGTTAAGTAGACGCGGCTACAATTTTTACGGGACCTCACGCACGATGAGTTCGTGAAAGCAATTTCTTCGTCGCATTTACAAGAATAAAAAAAATCCCGTCAAAGAGAAAATCTTACCCGTCCTGACTGTCTTATTTTCGTTATTTAAAGCTAACGAATGCAAAAGATTACAGATCGTCTCACCTTTTATTCCGTTAACTAGAACTGCATTATTGCTTTTGACGCAGAAGAAATTCTCTCTCGTCTTGCGCTGATTAGATCTCCAAAGCACCTTAGAGCACCCCACAGAATAAAAATAGCACCATAATTGTAGAATAAACATGATGAAACAGCGTGAAATACAAAATCTAAATACAAAAACGGACAGAAAAAGTTTTGATTAGTTCATTAAGCGAAAAATCCCTCTGATTACAAATTAATTCAACAGTAATTACTTCACAACAAAGTGGGTTTTCTTTGGTCATCATAATTATTTCAAAACGACTGACTGAATAGCAACCAACCACAAAAAGGAAGTTGCGCAGGTGCAAACATCTAAAATATTCTGATATGTCTGACAATTCTTAAAATAGCTACTGAACAAGGTAAAAGCTTCACCTTGCATTTTTGGAAACAATAGCTTGTTTTGTTAAAATCGCAAAGAAACCACCGTCGTTGAGTCCATTCCAAATTTCTTTCACAGGTACATGTTGTGTTTAAAATGCAGGTTTCTTACACTGTTATTCCTTATTACTGCCCACGTATCTTGGTCTTCCTACAAGCACAAGCACGAAAACTGCCACCGAACCATAATTGCTTCCAACTCCGTTGAGTGATTAAAGTCAGTATCATCAAAGTGCAGAACAACTTTCCTTCTAGTCTCTCATGGTTTTCTAATAGTTAAAAAATCAGGTTACCACAAAGTCGAAACAGAAAGCGAAATTAAACACTGCCAATCAAGCCACAGCAATCTTATTCCTGACTCCACTCGCGAACTAAATTTTAGGTCTTAGCAGAATCAGGAACAAGCGTTTTCCTTCGGTTTCTCGAAGGACTAGAAGTAGCTGCTAGAGCTTAGCATTTCTGATTGCCTAAAATTGTAAACTTTATGATGTAAACAGCTGTATTAATCTCTCGAGTAAATTATAAAAAGCGAGCGGAAGAAATATTTTGCGAGTGTTTCTTTTCCAATATTTTCTGTTTGCAAGAAATTACGCGTGTAGCTTCGAGAGGTTCGTATTGCACGTGATGAAGGCTAACAAAAAAGCCTTCGCGCTTGTCGAATTTTACCATGCGCTGTAGAATGAGAGCTTTTGAATTTTATCTGCAATTAAAATTATAAAAGAAATGCCATTTCTTCTAAAGGAACGTACATCCAGTGAAAAACGTGTTTAAAAGTTTGCCCGAAAAAGAACAAATAATTCGCCATGAAACGAAAAACCAAACACACTACACTTTCGTGAGACCACAGTTAAGCGTTTGATTTCGTTTCAGAAAACCATTATTTTCTTTTAGCGGAGCAAAACATGGTGCGGTTTGATGTCCTGCCAATAACTCTTTCTGTACCGTTTAGTTGGCGGTATCAAAGTTTGTCCGGTCTTTTAATCTTCAGAGGCCACAATATTAACACACAAACCGTGTAACCGGAATACCTGTGCAATTATTAATAGGAGACATGTTATGTGGCTTGCTTGTTGGCTTTGTTGGTCAGCAGGTATCTCACGCGGGTCTCACGTACAAGGAAGGATTGAGCTTGTTCATGCGCTCTCGTTTTAGTCTAGTCGAGTTTTGGCCGGGATTCTTGATTTTCGTTGCTTTCCAAGTTCATTCTTAAATTCTAATTGGAACAGGAATGCCATTTACAGTTGCAAAGTACACCAATACTTTAAGAAAGTCGATTTGTTTTTTATTTCTGGTTTGTGGGCTGTTGACGTACAGAAAGCATTCTAATCAACTGCTTCTTCTGTACGGAGGTGAGTTTGCATAATAAACATTAGATAAACGCAATCTTATCAAGAATTGCATTTGAGTTTGGACTGGGATAAAATAAGATAATTTGCTTACAGACAGCTGTATTAGGACCCCCTTAGGGGTTTTTTAGCTCTAATTTCTACTCACTTGTTTGTAGATTTAGTGGAAAAAAAAAAAAAACATATAGCATATATGTTGTTCTATTCAACTGTCCTGTCACATACATATTCTTAATGAAGTACTACAATAAAAGAGCAAACTTATGCCTGTTGAAGGTTGCCTGTCAAGTGTGTCAGTAAACTCCGGAGCTAAAGGAATTCACGGAAAAGAAAATCGACATAAATAGATGAAATTAAAATAGCTGTATATCAACATATTGCATTTGTTTTTCCGGAGCCCTCAAAAAAGCAATCTAAGAAAAATCAGCGCAAACGGTACAAAATGGATAGAGATCCCTGTTATATCTATGGTGACCTCAAACGCCCATTTTGATTATCAACATTTTAAATATATGTTTCTGGAAAACAGGGCGAACTTTGCTTGATTATTTTAATGTTCTATGCCTATAGTCTAAGTAACCCTAAAATTGCCCTTACACTATACAAAAAAAGCATAGTGGTGTCAAGAATAAGGAAAGGAAAGGAAAGTTGCAGGATAAAATCCTCGTAATCTACAAAGGAACACAGAAAGATTATCCGTAAGCAGAACTTTGGGCTCTACTGAAAAGGTTGCTTTGGGCCCGGAAGGGTTTCTTTCAGAGCCTGAAGATCGAAGATCTTCTTCCTTTGGAGCAGGCAAAAAATTTTCATTCTCTTACTTTGCAGTCTTAAGGCAATACTGTTTTTCTGTCTTGAGGTCCTGGGACCCTTGTTTTTTAGGAGAGAGTCGTGATCATTTTTAACTTGATGAATGAAGGAACTCGATACTAATGAAATTAGAAATGTCAGGGGTGTCTGCCGAAAGCAACATGAATGTCTGAGAGAAAAACTATGCCTAAAAAAAGTTGACTTCTCTCTTGAGTAAGAGTGCTCTTGAACTAACTTACTACGGGTGCCTTACGCGCTCTTTTCAAAGTTAACCCCGCCCCTACCCTCTCTAGTAAACGACGGTAATCCAAGGCAATTTACTAAAAAAGTATCAAATTGTTTGAAGTGAATTGATTGTTCCGCCGTACTTCTTTTTAATTGATCCTTTTCTGTGGAGATGTGAGCAGCCCAGCCTTGGATGCTCGGTACCGAATTTAAGATTTGAAATAGGCTGACCCCATCGTTATAAGCATCCTCCCCTTCCCTTTCTAAAGGTCTTAATGCCGTCCGATGCGTTTGTGATAATTCAGTCTATCGAAATGCAAGGTATTGTGCATTTCAAATAAGAAGAGCAAGTTGAGAACAATACCTACCTGTAAATCAGGTTAACAAGTAAATCAAAATGGGATCAGCACGTATCGACAGTCTCAAGCAAAGCATCTAAAGTACTTGGCGTTGTGCGGCGGAACTTACATAACTATCCCAGATCGGTAAGAGAAACGGCGTACAAGACCTTAGTTCGAGCAACCCCAGAATATGGAAGTGCCGCATGAGATCCCTATTACGAGAAGGATATTCAGAAGCTGGAGAGAGTTCAGAGAAAGGCAGCACGACTCTGCGCGGGCAACTACAATCCTTACGCAAGGGTGACAGAAATGCTGCGGGAACTTAACTGGGAAACCTTAACCACTAGAAGGAAAACCGCCAGATTATCTTTTATGTATAAACTCTCCCACAATCTGACGGATTTTTCAGTAGAAGCCCACCTAAAATTAACCAAATAATGAAAGAAGAACCCGTGGGAGCCACGCATTTAGGTTTGTAGTTCCTAGAGCGAAGAGAGATATTTCTTCCCACGAGCAATCAATAAATGGAACTCTCTTCCTGAGGATGTTGTGAATACAACGTCCGTAGATAGCTTTAAATCAAAGTTAGTTAATAGTTATTAATATTCCATTGTATTATTTTTATTTAGATTTTTTTATTTTTTATTTTTTAATATCCCATTGTATTGTTTTTATTCAGATTTTTACAGTTGGTGTGTCACAATTTTTACCGACTTAACTAAGTGTTGTTGCGAGCGTGGCTATGTTCTTCGGTGGATTAAAACATCAGAGACAGCAACTGGAACTCAAGTTTTATTCGTACACGACGAAAACTTCTACATCACAACATGGACTCGTGTAACAACTCAATACGGTGCAATACATAGCCTCAACCTGGTGTTGAGCTTACAACTACTTCCGGTCTACATGAAACACTTCCGGTTTACATAAGTTGAGTTTGTATCTTAACAAGTGTAGATGTAGATATGTTAGGACGCTTAAGTCAACCGTTTAAAAGTTTAGTTTACAATGTTTTGAAACAACTGGAGCATTGTTCTCAGTCGAGTATCTCCAGCATGTTTGTCTGTTTAGTAAATGTAGGTGAAAAGTTTCTCTTATAAGAATTTAAAATATTTTCTTGTAATGCAAAGCACATTTTGTTTTACTGTCGTCTGCCTTGTTTGAAGGTGGTGTAATGATAAAAATTCTCAATGTGAATTAGATCTATAAAATATGTTTGTACCTTCTCTTTCTTGGCATTTCCACTCTAAATAACAGTTGGTATTAAGCTTGACGAAACCAATGGTTCTATTTTTTCAGGTTTGAAAATCTAAGAGTTAAGTTGCCTTGAACTTTGCAGTCAGAAATGATTTGATTTGTAAATCAGTTTCTGATTGCAGTACTTACATTCAGTCGACCCACAATTCTCTACGTTTTAACTTGAAAAGGGTCCAATTCGCAATCACTCCGAGGCTTTCGGGAGAAAAATTGCAAACTCAAAGTTTTTTTGTCCCTCAGTTCCCAAAAGAGACTTGAGTACAAAGAAAAATTGCAAACTCAAAGTTTTTTTGTCCCTCAGTTCCCAAAAGAGACTTGAATACAAAGAAACACCACGAAATATTGATGTTTGTCTTGAAAGCTTCTGAAGTTTGTGTGGGTTTTTTATGATACAGACTTAGACATTGTCATCAAATAGAATAAAAGCCGGACTGTCTTTATACCCGTCGAGAATACTCAGGCGCTGAAACGTGTTTTCCGTTTGCTCTGTGAAGGTGCTAAAAAACAATACTCTTTTTCAACAAACCAGGAGAGCTTATTTGCCGATACAGCTGTTTCCGACTGCGATTACCTTTCAAAGCGGATACGGCGTGTCAATCGCGTTTTAACTACGCCCACAAGCACGCGGAGCATTTCGTAATTCTGATCATGATTTGAATAGACATCAAGGTCAGATCACATCCTAAGAAGATTGATTTGGAATTTTAAACCCACTCGCTTTCAAAGAATCTTATTTTTAAAAAAAAAAAAAAAAAAAACCTTTAGCTAATACATCAGTGCCACAAGTAAATAAATGTAAATAAATGAGAACCAGATTTTTGATCATTAATCCTGAGAAGGCGAAAAACATCCTTGTCACTTTAGATTAATAAGATGATAACTTTAAGCCAAGGTGCACTCAAACAGGATCAGTTTTTTAAACTGTTTTGTTATATGCACATTTTCAACAGGCCACGCACGCGTTTACTTAGAGTGAATGGTAGATTACTTAGTATTTTAATCGTATGGCAATAGAGTAAGACAGTCACACGAGCGAAAAACACAAATGGATATGTGCAATTTGTTTGAAGAATACCTTCAATAAACAAGTGGCTTTACGTTAAGTCTATGGTATTCACTTTTAAAGTCTAAAGCGAAACCCAAAACAACTTAGAAATTAGCAATACTGTTCTCACGAGAAGATTAAATGAAAGATGTTAAACGAACGCTCAAGAGAGCATGCCGTATCTGAAGAGCAATATAGCGCAGAGGTTCTAAACATTCGAGTTTGCGTTATCACACTGTAATCATCCGCATCTGTTTTGTTTAATTATTTGTATCATGTTAGTGGTTCGTAGTATCACTGAAATATATCAGACCCACCGAGCTCCACGGCTGGAATCGAAGCCAGAAAAAACGATCTGCTCTGGCATAAGAAAGGCAAGGTGTCTTCAGTGAATTTTTTTTTTTTATTTACAAAAACCCAACCACCTTTGATTAAAAACCGACAATACCGCTTCAATCAATTGTTAAATCAAATCATTTATACTTAGTTTCCTAGACACAACTATTCCAGACACGGCCAGTCTATGTTATCGAAAGCAAACACGAGATTACGCCACATACAGCATATTTCCACCATTTATCAAAGATTGACGGCAAATCAACAATCAGGTGCCGCGCATGCGTCCCGACATCAATTACGCTGCTATTAATTTGTGCTGTCGACAAATCGCAACGAGAAATGCAGCAGGCCATAGTTTGCAACTCACTGTTACGCAACTGCTGATCCAAGTCTCGAAGAGTGGCACCAAAATATACGAGTAGTGTGGTCGCAACGCACGTGTCAAAACAAAAACTCGCCATATTGTTTCCTTGGTCGATCAGAGCTTTCAACATCACGCCGCAGTGCTAAACAACAGACCAGGGCGCGATGTGCAAGGGGCCACTGCAACAAGCTTTGCTTTTGTTTTTGTGTGGATCATGTTTTCTTATTTTGGGTAAGTACGTTGAGAGTTTGCTTCGGTAATAGTTTTAGCGCCACCGGTGTAGTTTTGGCGGAGTGCTTTGGGTGGCATGCTGACTACACTAACTGCGTTATCGATCTCCGAATCGAAATCGAAAAAACAGCAGCAGCTGGTTGTTCCGCGTGTCAGAGCAACGAGGTTCTGTTTACTCTGTGCAAAACGCTTGTTTGATACGAATCTTTTCCAGATGTTGTACAGGAACGCGTCCATTTCCATCATTTAACTTTAATGTCATGTACGAAAAAGTATTGAAAATTTGAATTGAATTTGAATAATTGCGCAAGTTTTTAATAATCTTGGTCTTGAGAATAATTTTGGAATAATGTGGATTTTTAGTACTAAGATAGCCTCGCTCCCGAATATACTCGACAGTCACAGACATGAAATAAAGCGGGCATATTTATTTATTATCCTTTACAGAATGTGATTAAATATTTATTCGACTGCGTTCAATAAGGAAACCGGTCGATAGGAAAACCCGTTTGAGGGTATTTCCGCAAAGCGATTTGCACAAGGTGCTGTGTACTTGAAAGGATCCCTGAAGGGCTGACTTGATTAAGTTTGTATTAGTTAATTCAAAGCTGGCTCAGAACGAAAAGCACGTTTAATTAAACTTTGGACCAGGAGAATTATTGTATTCAACTAGAGCGTTGTCTTCAATATTCAACGCACAAGTGAAAAAAAAGTTGATTTATATCTCTCTAAGTTTATTTCTGGTAACATTATGTACGTGCTTGCAATATATATTTGGCTTTGAGCCTCTTCTCTAAACAGAAGAATTTAATCCTGTACAATCCGGGTCACTTAGCTTGAGAATAGTGTATTGTAAATAAAGGATCGTGTTTGTTCAAGTTTCAGTGGGTCGTAAGGAAAATAATATTTTACTGCGCCGTTGGATGCCTGAAGTATTTTATCCAATGCTGTAGCGGCAGTTTTGATAAATCTTGAAAAGTTTTATTTCTTAACAAGAGAGGGCGGAGAGTGTTCTTATCTCTTTGTGACGGATCTTTGGCAATTATCAGTTCGTAATTGCCACACAACAGCCACTCTCTTTAAAGGAAGATTAAAAGCTTTTGCATAACCAATACCGAAATCTTTTAAAAATCCAGGTGTGATATCATTTCTTTTGCTATACAGTGGCAGCTTTGTCTCTGGCGAAGATCGGTTTTGGGAATTGACCTAGCGCGATACCTTGTAGAGAATATTGACTGGAGACAGTACATTCGTGGGGTACTGTATTGTGAATACTCTCAGACTTCGCTTTGGTAATTAAAATTCTTTGTTCCATCTACAAATAATCTTTCGTCTTAAAATAATTACCCTTTCAATGAAGAATAATTCGCTTTTGATCCTGAAAGACAGCTTCGCGGGAAATTCGTTCATCGAAAGACAAAGAGTAATTAAAATAGTACCTGTAGAAATATACTCGATTCATATGCAAATCTACCAACGCTTTTGAGGCGGTTAACGTAAACAAGCTGATGTTTCTGGTTGAGTTTAGTACATGCTTCGCGCCTCAAATGTCAAAACTTACACAAAGTGTATTTACTTTAGGTAAATATATTGCTCTAGGTCGGGACATAGTTTCTCGTCTCAACTAGGTGGCAAAATTGTCGAGTGCTCGCTCAAGTATTTTGAAATGTTTTTTGAGGGAGAGCAGATAGTTGTTGCCCCTGTACAATGAAAAGAAGTCTTAGAAATTAAACGAATAAATAGAAAATAACAGGAAGTTCTAAAATTTTACCCCCTAGCTGCCAGTGTGTTAGGAATTCAGTGATAAACGCCCACTATTGGATCACTCCACGTATATAGTTCAAATAAACCTCCTACGAGTAAGCTGCTGAAGAAACCAAACTACAATGACTGATTTTAAACTTCCTTGAAGTACAAATCATAGTTGCAGAGGAATTAAGAAAAGAACGCAAACAAATAAGCTTATGTATACTTTGTTTATCACGAAATCCAGAACCGCTGTTTTTAAGACCAAACTTTGAGCGCATTCTTGGATGACATTAAATTATGTGACTTTGTTCTGTTGTGTAATGTAGTTCCCAAAGGTTGAGTTATCTATTTAGTTTTCAAAATTCTTACAACGGATGGACGATTTTTTTTTTTGCTTTAGAATCTTGATACATCATCAAGCAAACAAGTGACGAGAATAAAACAAAATCATTTATATAGTGGACTCTGTCTTCATACAGCAACAAAAGATTCAGAAGTAGCTTTTATGATTACCGTACTTCACACTTATGACTGAGTCTGGGATTTTCTGAACTTTTCGTGCCTATCATATCTCTGTTCAGTTAACGTTAATTTAATTTCCATCACTTAAGCGATCGAACGAGTGATATTCGCCCACTTTACCGACAGTTTTTGAATTGCTTTCAATTGAATCTTGTTAAATGCAGCGCGATTATTTAGACGATTCAGCAACGTTTACACCTTTACTTTCCTCGCGGTGTATAAGGTCAATCTGTAGTCCTTGGACACTTTTGAGCTCATTTCTATCGAGTTCCATTGAATTGAAGTTTTCCAAACTACGTTTCAAAGCTTTCTGAAGTGAAGCTCTCGCAAAGCGTCCACTGTCGGTTGTCTCAGACATTTTTGCCTGTTTGTTTGTTTGTTTGTTTTTTTGCTTTGATATGGAAGCCTTTACCTCCGTGGCTCTGTTTCTGGACAAGTAGAAAGCGAAAACCTGCCTCTTTCTTGAGATACAA